TCCTTGTTTGAAGAAAGGCAGGAACTGGAAAAGAGGGAGATTGTAGAAGTGAGACTCTAAATCAGAAGTTGGAACCCCAAGTGGGGAGAGTAGAGACAGGAAGCGTAAAAGTAGAGGTCTTTGCTTAAGGTAGTCAGGGTTTATCTGCTGAGCTGATGGTGAGGCCCTGTGACTGAGTTAAAAAGGCTTGAGAGAGTTACTTGGCATAATTTCTCCATCTTCAATGACTTACTACTGAAGGGCAAACATCAATTTTGGACTCTCTCCTGAGAAACGTTTAACAAAGTCAGTCAAATACTGGTACCCTGTTATCTTTCTAGATTTGCCAAACTTGGAGAGCTGTTTTATAAACCTCTGCCTGAAGTTTGTATTTTTTTTTTTTCCTATTGAGGAACAGGTCCATTAGTACATATGCAGATGTAAAAATGATCTTCCTCTTTACTTCTCCGTTGTGCTATATCTTAGAATTGTTCAGAAGTGCACCCTATTGTTAAAGCTATTTGTGCCGGGTGTGCTAATGCACTCTTTGATTGAGTGAATTAGCAGTCATAACAATCTGGCAGTCTGGCCATAGAAGTGTGCTCAAATTGATTTGTGTTATGGCTGGACTGGAAAATCTAGTGTTAGTTGTTTTTTGCCCTGGGGCATTGTTTGTACCAAACTCCACTTTTCATTTAATTTTCCAATACATTTTGAAAGATTGAAATGCTTGTGATCAACATTTGATCCACTTGCATTATTTAAAAAAAAATTCTGAAAGTAATTTCAGATTCCAAAAAACCTTGCTTTCAATTAGAGTAAACATAATTAGAGTGACGTCGTGCTCGGAATGGTAAGTCTCCCTTTGAATCTATTAAGCATGTTATCTCCTTGTCCTGTCACTGAAAGGAATTCAGTATCTATCTGAAATATACATCTGTATTTTTCTGTGCATGCTTCTAATTTAACTTGGGGAAAAAAAAGAATAAAATTGCGGGCAGTCTTTTCTCGTTCCCCTTCCTACATATTCCTAAATTTTTTCTGTTTCATTTAGTGATGTGTAAAAAAGAGAATACTTAAAGCTTTCAGGGAATTTTGAGATGTTCAAGAAACATTCAGATATGTATTGCCTTTAAGAGTTACTCGATCATTTTAGTATTTTTATGTTCTATGAAATCCCCATTTTCAGTCTTAAGTGTATCAATTGCTATATTGAAGCCCTAAAGATTTAAAGACATGACTTATCCTGGCTTTGTCAATATTTGTATCTATCTTACAATCTTCTACTTTGCAGTCATTTACCAGAATTATAATGCAGCATGAATAAACCTTAAAAATGACTATTGATTACAGAGAAAGCTTTGTGAAATCATTTAGTCAGTTTCCCCACTTGAGAAATCAGTGAATAAAATAGGTCAATAGATAAAGATGGAATGGATGTAATATGGTGCTCTGCCTCCCTGGGTTATAAAAAGGGTCAAAAATGAATCCCCATAGAAATCCTGTTTTTATACTTAGAAAATAAAATGATACTCACCAAATCCCAACTCTAAGTTCACCTTTATACAGATTTATTCTTCGTTTTTAAACCACAGGTTTGAAAGTACATCTTTATGTTTCCCTGTTTCAACAGAAGCATTTCCTTGTCACTGTCCCTTTTAAGCAAATAGGATGCCCTCATCTTCAGGCTAAAGTGCCTGCTGTCACCCAGGTATTCACCGGGACTTTTGCTGCAGCTACTCTGTATTTCCTCACTGTCTCCTGCAACCTTACAGCTCTTCTCAAAACTGCATTTCCTACTGCAGTGGACTCTGTCTTCCGTGCCGATTTTTGTTAAGTAATAGATGGTGAGCCCTGAGACCACTCTCTCTATTAGTTTCCATTCACAGGGATATCGTTGGGGCCTTGGAAGGAGGGGGAAGGGGAAGGGAGGGGCCAGAGGGAGGGAAGAAAATACCTTCCCTGAACTGGTACAAGCTCAGCTTCAAACGATATCCTAGGAAAGAAATTAAAGACTTCTTAATTAGTGCAGCAATTAAGCTTTCTTGGTAGCATTTTAATCAGCACAGGCCCTATCAAAGGACAAACAGAACGATTTGCAGGTCTTTGAATTTTAAACAGTCTTATTGATTTCAGCACAATACGTCTTCACAACACACAGGGAGAATTTTCTAATATCAGTTACAGTACTTTGAGTTTTGCTTATGCAAATCGAGTGAAGGTTGGAGAGGAGGAGATGGAAGGAGAGGACCTGAACCAACCAGACATGGAAAACAATAAACAAACAAGACAAAAGCTTTGAAAACCTAAAGATGTGATAAGAAGAGTGGGAATTTGAAATCTGGGCAGTTGATTTATCTGCTGTTATGAAATACCCTTTGCCTTAATCATCGGTAATATTTCTCAAAAAAAAAAAAAAAGGAAAGGAANTCAAAAAAAAAAAAAAACAGGAAAGGAAAAAATTTGAATTTTTCAAGGGTTTTCTTTCCTGAATATTTTAATTTGCATGATGTGCCTTTTCTAATCCTATTGTTTGATCAAAGGGGTAAGTGGTAGTTCCTAAAAACCAAAACCAAAAACAAAAACAGTTCAGAGACCTGAAATGGGGGTGAGGGGGAGGAAGCTCCCGCTCAGGTCCGGGCCAGCTACCCAAGCCTTGCTTCTGAATGGAGCACGTGCTGGGAGACACAGGTTTTCCTGCAGAAAATTTGGACTTTGCTTTGATGTTGGGTGGGATTATGGCATGGTCAGCTATCACAACTCCCTGTCCGTGGCTTCTGAGAGTGGCAGGTATTGAGTGAGTGACAGTTTAACAAAATGTAAGAAATGAGAATACTTACAGTAGATTTGGGGCAGTTAATTTCAATTTTTTCCATTTGCAGGACTAGAATTTAAAATGAAGGAACTAGCATTTCAAAAACTAAAGCAAGTTTATTTAAGTTGTGCATGCAATTCCAAAATAAAATTAGTTTCTGAGGGCTTAATATCTTCTTCCTCACCTCTACTCATTAACATAGTCACTTGGAATTTTTTTTTTTAAAGGTATTGTTGTCCAAAACAGGCATAAACACTTAAAGAAGTGTTCTGATTTATGTGATGTATGTCCAGTCCCTACTTTTAACTGAAGTCAGATAAGAAGAGTGAAAATTGATATAAATTACTTCTGAATATATCAAACTACATTGGCTAACTAGGCAAAACAACTGTATACACTTTAGCTATCTTATAGAAGTTAATCTACTTTTTAGCAACAGTCAATTTTCTGAATTCTTATGACCCAGGAAAGCCTCCTGATATAACTGCTTTATCCCCAAAAGTTTAGTATAAACTTAGACAAATTAGTGCATAGTGCCCTATTTCTCTGTAAATATTTCCTACACCTTTCGACAGTAGACTTCAAAAAGGTTAAAGAATTAAAAAGATAAAAAGAAATGTGATAATAATTTCAATACTAAACTGTGAATCCTATGCTAATAGTTTATTTTTGAAATCTGTCAAATGCTAAAGCATTGTTTCTATCTTGTGAAGTTAATGAACATGTGCAGACAGGTTTAAAGCCTAATTATTTAAGATTCCCAGTGATATAAACAGAACAGACTTGACTTGTGCTCAAATCATAGACTGGTCAAAATTTTTGAATAAATAGTACTTCCATGCAACAAGTTAGAAAAGGGAAGAAAATCAAAGAGGAAGGCAAAGAGGAAGAGGGTGACCCTAAACTCAGCCCAATGTTTTTAAGCAGAGCTACCCTTTCTGCCTTTACAAGTCAACTAGTGAGCTTTGTTTTTGTTCATTATTTACAAAACGTATTTCTGCAAATTGAGAAGGACTCTCCCAAAATACAACGATAGTCTTCAAGTATATATAGTGTATATATATATATAGTATAATATAGTATATGTGTACATATATATGTATATATATTTATTCAAATAACACATTAGCAGCTAGCCTTAGGTTTTAAAGGAGGAGAAGATGGTTGGTGTCTATGCAAGACAGGTTAATTACTTACAGAGTTTTAGGTAAGAAAAAGCAGTGCATTCTCCCCCCCCTCCCACTTTCTAAATCTTCAGGGGTGCCTGATCTCTTCAATTCTCCTCATGTGATTGGCATTTCTGACCTTTGGGGCGAAAGTGAAGTTATCCTGAACCATCCACATTTCTGTAGCAAGCATTTGTTTCTTTCCAAAATCTATTAGGAAATAAAAGAATTGAATACAGAGCATTCCATGATTCTTAAGCTATTTCAGACTGACTTTTCCCCCACAACTTGAAAACTCTCCTGGAATTTTCGCTATCTTTAAACAAATAAATAGTTGAGTCGACAGATAAAATAATCAGATACAGAAAACATACGCTTTGCTTCATATGGATTTTCCTCAAAATAATTTCTTAATAATCATGAAGTCAAGGGATGTGTTTTCATTTATATCTCTTGCCAAAAACAAAAAACAAAAAAACAAACAAGCCAAGATACATCCTAAATCCCTTGAAGGAGAGCTCGGAGCGCTCTGGCTCCTCTTTAAGTTGGCAGGCGATTGCTTAGAAGGTTTTGGAAAAAATTACGAGTCTTCGCGGACGAAATGGAATATTAAGACATGCAATCTAACGGTAGTAGAAAAGTAGATGCTCTCCCTTTCCGATCGCCACTTCTGGGTCTCGGCTTTTCCTCGCGGTCCCTCCTATAGTTTCTTTCCTAGTGCTCCCCCCTCCCCCCCCCCGGCTCTCTCGCTTTCCCTGGGTCTCGCGCTCTCGGAGTCTCTGCTCCGAGTTCCTGGTTGGATAATTTGGGTTAATACTAGTGAGTGAGGTTTTTGCGGCTTCAAAGGGTATTTCAAGTTTCCGGAGCTCCTCCCCTCTGCACCGTGTGACAATAACAAGTCGTCCAGCCGGCAGCCTGCACTTTTCAGCTCATTTTCTCTCTGTCATTCCCCTCTCAATCTTTGATCAATGTACTTGCCAGGGAGAACCCAAGTCCTTCAAACCTCCTCCTTTTCACCTTCATCCTTAACTTGGTGCTAGAGAGCGGGNCTGGCGACCGCGGGCGGCGGCGGCGGCGGCAGCATCAGCGCCGGCGGCGGCGTTGGCGCCTCCAGCACCCCCATCAACGCGAGCACCGGCGGCGGCGGCGGCAGCAGCAGCAGCAGCAGCAGCAGCAGCAGTAGCAGCAGCAGCAGCAGCAGCAGCTGCGGCCCCCTCCCCGGCAAACCCGTGTACTCGACCCCGTCCCCAGTGGAAAACACCCCCCAGAATAATGAGTGCAAAATGGTGGATCTGAGGGGGGCCAAAGTGGCTTCCTTCACGGTGGAGGGCTGCGAGCTGATCTGCCTGCCCCAGGCTTTCGACCTGTTCCTGAAGCACTTGGTGGGGGGCTTGCACACGGTCTACACCAAGCTGAAGCGGCTGGAGATCACGCCGGTGGTGTGCAATGTGGAGCAGGTTCGCATCCTGAGGGGACTGGGCGCCATCCAGCCCGGAGTGAACCGCTGCAAACTCATCTCCAGAAAAGACTTCGAGACCCTCTACAATGACTGCACCAACGCCAGGTAAAGAGCCAGGGGGACGGTGGGGGTGGGGAGGGAGTCTCCGCCGCCTGTGGGCCCTTCCCAACCGGCCCCCTCGCCCTTCCCTCGCTCTCTGCCTGGCGCCGTTCTCTCCGCGCGCCCCGGGCGAGCGCGGCCCTCTGCTCCCTTTCCTCCGGGCTCGCCGGCCGCTCCCGACCTCTCTGAGAAGTTGGCACCTCACCCTGCCCGGATCGCGCTCTTCCGGCCGGGTCCGCCCCTTGCTCGCCCGGACGTTGGGGCTCGACAGATGTGGCTGGCGGGAACCCCAAGTCTCGAGGCGGACGGGGCGGGTAGGAGGCGGATGGTGCCATTCCAGGGGCCACAGCGCCCTTCCTAGGCTGCGCGGACGTCTGGGGACCCCTTTCAGCGCTGCTGTGTGCGCGCGCTCCCTCGGACCCGGGTTCCACCGCGAGGCGCCGGGCAGCGGCCCGGCTGCTCGGAGACGAGGGGCTAGATCCTGGGGGCGGAGGGAGGTCGTAACCCTGCCCCGCGGGGTTCGTGGAGCGGAAAGACGCGCTAGGGGTGAGCGCCCCGCGAGGTAGCCTAGGAAGTGGGTCACTTGGAGGTCGGGAGCGGGACGGTCCCAGAGGCCGAGAGGCCAGAGTAATCTCGGGGGACCCACATTGAGTTCAGCCCTGAAGCCCAGAGGGCAAGCCTGCGGAGGGGAGGGGAGGGGTCTGTGTATGCACGCATCTGTGCGTGTGTCCGCGCGCGCGCGCGCGAGCGTGTGTGTGCAAAGAAGATAAAGGGGTACGTTTGCCTGGGGCAGGCGCGAGGGGACCGGCAATGTTCCTGCCGTTGGGGGAGGTGACCGGGTGCCTGGGACTCCTGGAGGCTGAACTGGAGACATGGGGAGGGAAGACAGCAGTTTGCTGCCTCGCTCTCTCTCTCTCTCTCTCCAAACTGTTCTTTCCTTCCTTTCTTTTTTTTAAGGTTAGTAGCTCACGCAATGAGCAGGTGCAGGTTTTGCACTGGGATGCTCTGTGGACCTGAATACCGGTGCTGTAGCTCCCCACGTCCCGCAAAGCGCGCGAACCCTGGAGGCCGCGGGACCCTGAGCCCGGCCGGACCAGTTTTATGCTAATGAATGCTCACTTGGGGGAGGATCTACCGAGAGGGGGCGGGAGTGGGGTAACTTGTCAGTTTCGGGGTAGAAGTGATCTTTTCCACCCACTCTCACTGTACGGTCTTGTCCCCACCGTTGGCTGCTGAGGGACAAGTTCAGAGAAGCCGAGTAAAAGCAAGCAGGGAAAGTTGGAGTCTCGAAGTGAGCGCGTGGGAACTGCGCTCAAAATTTGTGCGGAAACTTCGGTATCCTCCAAATAAGTTTAAAGATTGGGAGGAGGACCGGAGTTTTACTAAAACTCTTTTTATGTGTGCCCCTAGTATAGCTAAGGAAACTGAGGCGGGAAGGAGAGAGGCGCAGGACTAGACCAGAAGGAAATTGGGGTAGAAAAGCCCCTAGCTATTTCTTCCTTGGAGGAAGACTTCTGGCTAGTCCCCTGGGAACACTATAAGACGAGAAAGGCTCCAACTGCAATTCAGTAAATGCCCTACCCTGACCCATCCAGAAACTCTTTTACGTGTTTACTTCTTTCTTTGTATGGGAGGCATGGTTGTTTATCTGGGTTTTGAACCTTCGTTTCTACTCTTCTTCGGTGAATGCTGAACACGCGCGTGTGTATGCGCGCGTGCCCAAGAATATGGACAGGTGGCAGTAAAGATTGAGGGTGAATCTTGATCACTAAACATCATTTACAGAAATAATTAGAGACCTTGGGTGTACAGAATATAAAATATTTGCCAAAAATCTACTGTTAAAGCTGTTTAAATCAGGGCAGAAAATTGTTACGGAGTTGTTTTAAAAATTGCTGCTTGAAATCTGAAGCCAGTTCAGATAAGATTGTGATAGAATAAGATTGTGATAAAATACCTATCCAGTAAATTGGTGAAGCGCTCTTTTTCTTTTTAGTAACCAAACGACTCTGCTCTTGAGTCTTCTTTGTGTGTTTTTCACAGCACACACTGTACTAGATAATTAATGGCTATTTCAGATAACACACACAAAATCGCTGGAGAAAACTGCTTCAAAGATTACGAAGTTATAACCAATTTAAAACAGGTAGTGTTACACTTCTCACAATTATTTCCTTGATGCTTTTGTTTTTTCTAAAATTTCTGCTTAGGTTTTGGAATTGAAGTCCTCACCATATGGTTGGAGAATATTCTTAAAGTTACTAGGAATGAATTTTAAAATATTAAGTTTTTCCCTGAGGTTAACAAAGGCTCTGGAGTTAAAACTTTTAGAACCAAGAAAAGTTAAATCCAGTGAAACTGTTTATCCCTTCAAAAATATCTTATCAGTACTCTAAAGTTTTAATACCTTACAATGAAATGTGTTATTCCAGAACTCCATTTGAGGTTAAATGTGGTAAGTTTGTTGGTTTACTGTTACATTTTGATCTTTTTATCAACTACAGGACTTTCTCAAGCCTAAATAATATGTAGATACTGAAAAAGGTGTGTAGTTGCAGATATATACCTAGGTTTCCCTAATTCTGCCATTGACTAAGAAGAGAGAAAACTTATCACTGAACTCTCACCAAAATACACTGTTTGCATTGTGATGCCTTACTTTTTAGTGATAGTTACAAGTGTTATTGCCTTGTTTCTTTACTTTGGAAGCAATAGCTAAAATATTTTTCATCTTGAATTTCCCAAACTCAAATTATCCTGTTGATTCAAGTCCAGTTTGTTCCCTTACTATTAAGATCCTTTTTCATTCATTCCAGTTTATTCCCTTACTATTAAGATCCTTTTTCATTCATCTATATATATTGATTTCTTTCATTCTTGTTTCTTTCTCCTCTGGCTACTTAAGAGACTATATAAAGGAATAATTTATGCAGAAGAAGAACAGTGCAAGAAGGCAAACTATATGAAATAATACACACATAGTGTGCAAGAAACATCAAATCTTAGCACTCTCAACTTTTTATAGAATATATATCTAACTATGTCTTTTAATAGCATCTAGATACCGGGAAATCTGAGGAACCAAAGTTATGTTAAAGAAAGGTTCGTAAACTTGCTCAAAGTGGCTCAGTAAGTTAGTAAAAAAAAAAAAACTCGGAGTGCATTTAATTTGCTTGGGGCTATTGCATTAGTGTGCTATCTATGAACACTAGAATAAATGTTGAAGCCATCTGTCATTACCACAAGGAAATGAAACAGACTGTCACCTTGATAGTAAAGCTAAATAAAATAGGGGTTTCAAAACATGAAAGAAAATATAAGGAAATATATTTAAAAGTTGTCAAAGGACAAAGTCTGACCTTGATCAGCTTCCTCCAATTATTATTTTTAAACTAAACATTAGTTGCATGAACATGGCTTTTGCAACAGAGGTCACTTAATTAACTGGTAACCATTAAACAACAACAACAAAGGAAAGTAATTATAGAGATGGTCAAGTCTCTGTTTATCTGAGTCAGTTGCTTGTTTGGAGATTTGGGTTAGGATTCCATTTTCTGTGAATTCAGGTAATGAAAAGTGACTTGGTTCTATTTTGTTATCGAAAATGAATTTTTCTTTGAATATTGCCAGAAGATGATTTTGTCTCAGGATCTTCCAAACCAGCTTGTGATTTGGGTCCTACATAGACCTAGATTTGTGGAGTTTTTAACTTGAAAAGATTCCAGTTAGTTTTATCAGACATTTATTCACAGACAGTATTCTTTTGTCTTAAAAGTCAATACCATCTATGGAAAGCAAATTGAGAGAATTTATGTCTTTTTTTGTTCAGTAGTAATATATGAATGCGAGTTTAGTGTCAGAAGTATAAACTATTTTCTAATTCTTGGCTTGCTTCTTTTTGTCAGAAGTTTTTTTTAACAAAAAATGGCAATATTTATTTAACATTTCCTTCATTGCATGCTGTTCAGTGGCACGGAGTTATGCCTTTATGCCTCTGTAGAAAGTTTCAACACAATACAGACTCACTTCTCATAGATAATTATGATACTTGGCACAGAGAAATTAAAAAAATTACTTCAAATGAAAAGAGACTATGCTTTTGAAGTTTTTTGTATTATAGTAGACCAATGGCTCTTATAAAGGCTAATGTTTCATTTTATAACATTTCAAAAAGAATATGGCATAATTAGAAGAATAAGACCTAAAATGTGAAAGTTTGCTTGGTCTTTTATCACTTATTTCTGAACGCTTTTTAAATATTAGTGAATTCCAGTTTAATGGCTAATACATAAATAAAATATAAGAGTATTCTAACCTTGGGTTTACCTTATTTAATCAAATTATGTTGCAAAATACAAATTCTTGAGTTATTTAGATAATATCTTTCAAACCTGCTTTTTTTTCTCTTGGAGTTTGTCTCCAACAATATTATATTCATTATTGTAACAAAGTGCACATAATTATGAAGATCATGCTTGTTTACTTTCTGAGTTCCACAGTTAATACCGGGAGACACTTAATTTGATTTGTATATAGTATTTTATTTTGTGAAGCTTCAAGTATTATGTAAGATAAACTGCAAAATAGGCTGATTTTCAGAGTTTTCGTGTGTAAAATTTTTGCATTTACATGTAAGACAGAATTTTTAAACTTCATTAGTCTAAAATCTGCTGCTTTTCTTTTTTTTTTTTTTTTGCTTAATCTACCACATATCATGGAAATTGCGTATAAATTATTGAGACCAATATTAGCCACTTTCTTTTTGCCTCACTACCTTCCCCAGCCTCCTGAGATGTGACACCCAATATTGATTAAAGTCTTGGCTGGTTTGAGCATAAATAACTCTTCTCTTTGGTGATTTACCATGTGTGATTCACTAGCATACGAAAACATAATACGCTTTATTGTTTCTCATTTGCTGTTTTGTTTTTGGGATGTAAGTAGCATTTGTAAATTAGCTTAATGTGCAACCAAGTAGTTGTTATTTTAAGAACAGTTTGTGCTTT